CTCCCCTTCTACAAGTGGATTTCCAGTTTCCCATATTCTCAAGCTTTCTATCCCTCCACGTTCTTCACATCTCTCCACGTTCCCCATCTCCACTTGTTCAAGTCCTGCATGAAAGGCTTCCTGTTTGACCTTCCTAATGGCCACCCCACGCAACCCCCCTCACCCCACCCACACCAAACTCGGAGTGAGGCTCCACCACTGTGTCGCTATTCTGCGTGGATGTTGACATATAAGAGCCAGTGATTGTTGTTGACAGTACTATCTCAGGCTCCCTCTCAACTGTGCCATTTGCTTAGAGATGGCCTTCAATATGAAGCTGCTATGTGTACACAAATTGTTATGGTCACATGGTTAGCGGAACTGGGGGCAATGAAATATTGGTGGTGGAAGTATGATTACTTCATTATGAGCAGAGAGCCCCGCCGATTTTTCTGGGGTTCTGATGGACAATAAACTGAAGGTCTCCCCAAAATGCTCTGTGACAATTTGTAAAGCAAACCGGATATTGGTATCAAAAGATCAATAACAGCCAAAATAGTGGGACAGTCCTACAACTGTACAAATCACTGGTGAGATTGTAATTAGATACTGTGTACTTTTCTGGTCACCACAGTACAACAAGGATGTTGGTTAAATGAGAAGATACACAGCAGGGCAACCAGAATGATTGCGGGAATGGAGGAACTGGACTATGAGGAGAGACCAATTAAATTGTTCATGTTCACGCTGGAAGAGAAATTTGAGAGGCGACATGTTTGCTGCGTTTAAGAATCTAAAGGGGATAGAGAATACGGATCATGACAGGCTGCTTCAACTTGTCCTGTATATTAGAACCAGAGGATACGACCTGACATTGAAAGGGTAAATGCAGAAGAAATCTCCGCATAATTATTTCAGTTGGTGAATAGTGAACCTGTGGAAATGGTTGAAGCAGGAAATGTTGATTCTTTCAAACACAGATGAGTTTTCTTTTTAGAAATATCATTGTGGGATAGAGTACAGAGCGAGTTTGGGACATATGTGCATGTTACCACCTGCATGGTGAAAGGCGAATGAGATGGATCTTGGTCTGTTTATCATCTAGCATTTCTTATGTTCTTATCAAGGCAACTGATGGTTGTTTCCTTGGCAGGTATCTCTCGCCAGCTTGCCGCCAGCTACTCACAAACATTGTTCATGGTGTCAGTGTCTGGTGCCTTGACTGACTCACTGCTTTATTTTGTTGCCACTTTCATGCCTCCGATATTTGTTATTTACCAGATCTTAAACCAGGCACTTCCTCAGCCCGAATTGACCTGACACGAGTTATACCCTGGTGATTACACGCCCATTTCCCCACAAACGATAGCTACAAACATGAGCGTATTGCATTTCCTTCAGCTTGCATCTAAGTGTGTCAAAATCCGACATCCAGCACCCATCCTCACCCCTCTCCCCTCCTCCCGCACCCACCCCCACCCCCAAAACACTCATAAAAACTTCCGCCATTTATAGTTTCCTACCCTTTTCCTGGATCTCTCTCAGGATTGCCTTCAGCTGTGGTTTATTGTCCTCTATATTCACCAAAGCTTCCCACATCCCTCTCTGCACTCGGCTTCTCGCTGCAGTCACTAAATCCAGAAGATATCTCGATGCTTCCTGTCTCTGATTCCTGTTTACCAGGTCTCTGACGTGCTGTAGGAACAGAAACAAAGGCGTTATATTGCACCCACACTGCTATGAGACGAACGGCTTTATTCAATGTTTTGATTTGGAGTCAGAACTCTCTCAATCTGCCTAACTTGTCAATCTTCTGTTGTCAATCAGCCGGGCTTATTTAGTAAGCTTCTTGTCTCTGAGTCTGAAACTTGTGGTTTCAAGAATCACGTCTAGACCCTGAACTCACAGTCAGGGTTACCTCTCCATGGCAAACCTGGGGATGTGCTGTAATTGCTGGAAGTTGTTTTCCTACAGAATAGACGGTCCAACAAGGCCGGATTCAGCTGTTTAGGTGAATGTGAAATATTTTTGGGGATTGACAAAGTGTCTGACACATGTGGAAATCCATCACTGTTGCTCAAGAGTATCCAGACCAAGCTGAGAAGTCCATGCTTCACGCATACACTTGGAAACCACAGAGATAGATTGTTGGAATGGAATAACCTCTCTCTCCCTGGAGGGAGGCATCCTGCTTACATAATTCCGGAAAGTATTAGATGCAGGTTGGCAACAGCCAAGACTTTTTTTTTGGGGGGGAGCCCGGAGTCAGCCCAGTTAGGGTAACTGCTGGAATCTAACGAGTTAAACCATACAGCTTGCCATTGATAAGCGCTGTCTGATAAACTATCTCGCGGCTTTCCCAGCTAGGATGAAACTACCCGCTCGTTATGGGTTTGGCTACAGGGTTAGCAGCAGCCTTGAGCAAGGAGACCCCATTTACCTACAACCACCCAACCCTCCCCCCAGAAGCTTAATAGTCACTAGCAGGTCGTTCGACAGGCGCAGGTTTGAACCTCACTTTTGGATGGTGTTATACCAGGAACTCCCTGAGAGCTTTCCGGTGGGCAACTTATCTCAGCATGAAATGCGTTAGAGCAATACCACATCTTCCTGTCGCAGCTCGGGCACGGATCCCTTCCACTTGAGGTCACACCTTCCAGGAGCTGTCGCCTCAAGGCTCAGAGTATCCTCATCATTTGTGCTATCTGACTGTCATCTGTACATCTGCATTCATCTTACATAAATTGGCTTCTGTGTTTGTCTACAAAATACAGAGTCACTGCACCTTACAGTATGTTGTGAATGGCAATGGAAGGTAACTATTATTATTACATTTGTAAAGCTATATTTTTGAGCTTAAGGTTTTTAAAGCTTTTTAAGAACATAAGAACATAAGAATGAGGAGCAGGAGTAGGCCATTCAGCCCTTCGTGCCTGCTCCGCCATTCAATAAGATCATGGCTGATCTTCTCACCTTAGGCTGATTACCTGCCCTATCCCCATATCCCCTAAACCCTCTATTTTTCAAGAAGCTATCAGCCTCAGCCTTGAAAATGTTCAAGAACTGAGCATCTACAGTCTTCTGGGGTAGTGATTTCCATAAGTTCACTGCCCTCTGAGTGAAGTAATGTTTCCTCAACTCTATTCTAAGAGGCTGACCTTTAATTTTAAGACTCTAACCCCTGGTTATAGATTCTCCTACCAGGAAAACAGTCCCTCTGTGTCTACTTTATCAGCCCTTTACGAATCTTATAAGTTTCAATAAGATCACCCCTAATTCTTCTGTACTCTAGAGAATACAGCCCTAGTTTATTCAGCCTATCCTCACAGGTCAGTCCCCTCATCCCAGGAACTAACCGAGTGAATCTACGCTGCACCCCCTCTAGGGCAAGTATGTCCTTTTTAAATAAGGAGACCAAAACTGCACACAATACTCTAGGTGCGGTCTCACCAAAGCTCTATATAGTTGCAGCAAGACTTTCCTACTCTTATATTCTAAACCTTTCGACATGAACGGTAACATGCCGTTCGCCTTCTTCATTGCTTGCTGCACCTGCAAACTAACTTTTTGGGACTAGTGTACAAGGACACCCAAATCCCTTTGATTAGTAACACTATCTAACTTCGCCCCTTCCAGAAAATAATCTATTCTTTTATTCTTGCTGCCTCGGTGAATAATTTCACACTTGCTAACATTGAATTCCATCTGCCACCTACTTGCCCGCGCCCCCAGCCTATCTATAGCTTGTTGCAATCTTTTTGCATCATCCTGAGAGCTCATTCTGCTACCGAGTTTGGTATCATCCGCGAATTTAGACACATTACATTCAATGTCCTCGTCCAGATCATTGATGTAAATAATTTTTAATTAATCATTATGTACTTCGAGAATGTCACCTGCTCATAATCCTTTGATAAGGTGGGATTGATTTGAGGACTCGCACAGCAGAGACTGAAAGTATCTTTGCCGGTTGAGGTCACCTTCCGATTGCATTTCTTATTTTTCTAGGAAGATGTTCACTCCTCTGAGAAAATGAGCAATCGGGACCTTAACCACAGATCTCAGAAACGAAACGCTTTACCCTCAGACACCTGGCTTCTCAGGGCTGAGAAACAAGCAGGCTAGGGAAGGCTGGAAAATAAAAGTGTCCATCTGCCTTTCTCCCTATCATTTCTTTTCCCAAGGAAAACTAGCCTGCTGAGGGTTACCTGCAGCTTGCCAAGTGTGATGGCTATCTTTTTTGTAAGGGGAGGAGGAGTTAGGAACTATTAAAAGAAAGATGTAACTGTGAAATCGTTGGAGTCGACTTGGGAGATGACGATTCTGCACAGCTGGACTTGCTAATATGGATTTTACTGTATTTTCTCAGTTCGAGCTTATGTGACTTACTGAACAACCTTTGGATTATTACACAATCATATCAGCCGTCCCCATTTGAATTTCTCAGATATAAGGGTTATCCATCATTACAACAACAATAACAATATTCCTTTGATACAGCGCCTTTCACGTCGGGAGGACGTCCCAAGGCGCTATACATTTGGGTCAGGACATTACGTGGATAGCTTAGATATACAAATAATAATTCTCCCATTTGATGTTACAGTTCATCACATCATTGAAACGCCGCAATGCACTTTGCAGAAATTATTATAAAATATATACATTTTGTTTTAATTGTGTATATTGTCAGCAGATGAACCTAATTGTACAATTAGAAATTGATGTTTGTGTAACATTTTAGCTCCTGGAATGTTTATTGAGGTCACTTGAATGTGGGATTGGAATCAGTTCCTCTGAACAATGTAACATGTGAGACAGGGCTGTACACTCTGAACTTTCACCAGGCACATAAGTGAATTTCAATGTTGCTCAACCTACCGCAAACTGTCTGCCTCTCAGTAGTTTCTCCAGCATCAATGTCAAGTCCTCCACCAGATCATCCATCACTTCAAGTCTCTGTCTGTAGAACACGGTCACCATGTGCAGCTCAGAGTCGCTGTAACTTTTCAGAATTTGTCTGATTGCAATTTTGTCGTCATCTGACAATATATAAGGCACAGGAGAAGGAAATTAGAGCACTGGAGATAATTACTTCATTGGATGAGGGAGACGTCTGTGGGGAAGAAGGCCTGAGTGAAATACAAAGTACCATAGAGGAGGAGACAGGGTACTTGGGGGTAGGATTGAATAGGAACATTGTAGTCATAGGGGATTCAATAATTAAGGGGATCGAGGTGATCCTCTGCTGTCGAGATCAAGACCCCAAGAAAGTGTTGTCTTCCCGGTGTCAGTGTAAGGGATATTTCAATGCCGCTGGAAAGGAAATTGGTTAGGAAGGGGGCAAAACCAGTTGTCGTTATTCACGCGGGAACCAATGAAGTTGGAAAGAAGAAGAAGGTTGTCCTGCTGAGGGCGTATCAAGAGCTGGGGTTAAACTTCATAAACAGAACGATCTCCGGATTGCCACCCGAGCCACGTGCTAATCGGCTGAGATCAACAGATGAGGGAAATGAATGTGTGGTGTGAGGAGCAGGGGTTCCATTTCATGGGACACTGGCAGAAGTACTGGGACAGGAATGAACTATTCTGCTGGGATGGGCTACACTTGAACTGAGCTGCAACCAAGGTTCCAGCGAGAAGGATAAGTAGGACGGTAGAAAAAGCTTTAAACCAATGAAGGGGCGGGTGGGTAGAGGAAACTGTGTGGGGAACAATAACCAAAACATGAAGCAACGAGATGATGAGAGCAACAGTCAGAATACGTACCGTGAGAAATACATAAATACTACAGGATGAAACAAGCTAATAGGATGTTATCACAAAATGTGTAACACGTGAAACAGTGTGAGAAGAACATAATGAGGGCATTTGGGCATATCGGGACAGTAACCCAATTAAGAGTTATTTCCACAAATGCACGTGGCATAAGAAATAAAATAAGTGAATAACAAGCACAAAATTAGCTTGAAGGCTATGTTGTATTAGCAATCTTTTTTAAAGCTGGGCAGGACTCGGAGCTAAATATTCCGCTATAATATCTTTAGAAGACAGGGATATTGGGAAAGGAGGAGGAGTAGCATTATTGACAAAATACCCTGCAACAGCAGTGGAAAGAAAATATCAGCCAGGGCGATTGGTTATGGGGAGAGAGAGAGCGGACATTGAGGTTGATCAGGGCTTTGGGGAGAGAGTGTGGGAGTGGGATTAATTCGGAAAAGCTGCTTTCAAGGAGACACAGACATGATGGGCCGAATGGCCTCCTTCTGTGCTTTATAATTCTATGATTCCGTGATCAACCTCAATGGAATGAGAACTAAATTGACTACAGTAAACTGGGCTGCAATGTTAGTGGGGACACCTCCAGACAAACAATGAGAAGTATTCAAAAAGTATTTGATACAGTAGGGAACAAGTGCCTAGCCCTATAATGAAAAAGCTCAAATTGTGCAGTTGAGCAACCATGGGGCGCAAAAGAGTTAAGAGACTATCAAGTTGAAAGAAACGGCTTACTCAAATGCCGGAAAAAAGTGGGAATGCAGATGACTGGGAGAACCACAAAAAACAACAAAAGTGATAGAAGGAAACTAATAATGGTAGGAGCAATGAGGGAATATGAAAATAAACTAGCAACAGATATTAAAACTAATAGTAAAAGCTTTCATATCTATAATTAAGAGAAAGAGTGAGTGGTCAAGTTTAATGTGGGCCCGTTAAAGATAAATGTAGATGAGACTCTAATGGAAAATAATGAAATGGCTTGTTAAGTAAATACTTCACTTCTGGATTCACAGTTGAGGATGAGGACAAAATCGCAGCCATACAGGACAACCTAAACATAAGTCAAAGTGAAATGCTTAATAAAGTTAATATCAATAAAAATGGTAATGGAGAAAACAATGAGTCGAGTCGCATGATAGACAAATCTCCAGGAAATGATAATTTCCACCCAGGATTTTAAAGTGAACAGGAGAGGAAATTGCAGCTGCATTCGTCAATATTTCCAAAAATCACTAGATTCACGAATTGTGCGCTTAGATTGGAACACTGTGAATGTCACCCCTTTATTTAAGAAGGGAGCGAGGGAGAAAGCAGGAAACTACCGACCTGTCAGCTCAACGTCAGTTTTAGGAAAAATCCTGGAATCCATCAGCAGGGTCAGATTGTCTGAACACTTGGATAGCTATGAGCTAGTCAAAAAGAGTCACCGTGGGTTTGTGACAGGAAAGTCGTCTCTGACTAATCTCGTCGAATTTCTTGAGGAGATCTCTAAAATGCTGGATGAGAGAGTGTGTACGGATGCTGTTTATATGGACTTTCAGAAGGTATTTTATAAGGCTCCGAACAAAAGATTATTACCGAAAAATGAAGCGCATGGAGTTCAAGTTAACCTTGTGACGTGTCTCGGTAATTGGTTGGGAGGCAGAGAGCGTAGGGATAAAGGGTACGTTCTCTGATCGGTGGGACGTGACAAGTGATGTCTCCCAGGTGTCTGCACTGGGATCTCAGCTATTCACCATATATGCAACATATATACAGCTATTCACCAGATACGAACCATATGTATATCTATTCACTATATATACGACGTTAAAGGCCTCTATGAAGGTAATTTTGTGGTTATTGTTCTATACACCTAGATAATATATAAATCACTCGGAAGAAGGAATAGAAAGTGTTATATCCGAGATGGCAGACGACACTAAGCTTGGAGGCTCAGTGAGTTGGTGAGATGGAAGTAGGAAATTACAAAGGGAATTAGACAGTGAGTGAGCACATTTGTGGCAGATGAGTTCAATGTAAGGAATTGCAAGGTCATCCACTATGGACCGAGAAAAGAAAAAGCAGAATATTTTCTGAATGGCAAGAAATTAAGAACTATGGTGGAGCAAGGAGATTTGGGTATCCATATCCACAAATGAAAAAAAGATAGTTCCCAGACGCAAAAAGTAATCGAAAAGGCAAATGGAATGTTGGCTTTATCTCAAGATGCCTGAAATAAAAAGGGGAAGAACTGATGCCTCAACTGTACAGAGCGTCAGCCAGAACCCATCTGCCGAGTGCGTTCAGTTTTCGTCCTGGAGGGGGTGCAGCGCAGTTTCATCAGAATGCTACGAGGCCTAAAAGGGTTAAGTTACGAGGACAGACTGCTTAAACTTGGATTGTATTCTCTTGAGTTCAGAAACTTGAGGGGTGATTGGATTGATTTATTTTGGATGATAAAGTGATTCGATCGGGTAGATACAGAGAAGCTATTTACTCTGGTGGTGGAATCCAAAACAAGGGAGTATAGCCTTAAAATTAGTAATAGGCCATTTAGGAGTGAAATCAGGAAGCATTTTTTCCATTCAAAGAGTGGTAGAAATCTGGAATTCTCTTCCACAAATGGCTGTAGATGCTGGATCCATCGACATCTTCAACACTAAGGTTATTGCTATTGAGTAAGCCTTATTAAGGGTATTAATATATATCAGGAGAAAGTGGGAAATTGGAATTGAAAATATGAGTTGAGGCACACGTCAGCCAAGATATAACTATATGGCGGAAGAGGCTCGAAAGGCTTTATGCCTCCTCCTGTTCCTATGTTCTATGTTCCAGGTGAAATTATATGTGAAGAAATGTTAACTAGTTTACATGGGGACAGAATATTCAGAAAATGACTATTATTTGAACGGAAGGAAAATAGTATATACAAAAAATTAAAAGGATTTTAATTAATTAAACGGAAAGGTGGTTCAAAAATAAATTGAAGCTCTCCCAACAATGCTCTGTGACGGTGAGTAAAGCAAACCAGATGTTGGGATGTATCAAAAGATGAACAACAAGACTAAATCGTGAGGTAATCGTGCCACTGTATCAATCATTGGTGAGACTGTACTTAGAGTGCTGTATACAGTTCTGTTCACCGCAGTAGAAAAAGGATATTGGCGAAATCGAGAGCATGCAGAGAAGGCCATTCAAAATGGTGAGAGAATGGAGAACTTGGATTATAAGCATTGACTCAGTAAATTGGGCATGTTCACGCTGGAAAAGAGAAGATTTAGAGGCAAACGGATTGCTATCTTTAAATCTCCAAAAGTGGCAAAACAATATAGATCATGGCAGGCTGCATCAGCTGATCCAGAATAGAAAAAACAGAGGACAGACGGGCCTGCGATGGAATGGGGTTCAAGTCAGAACGAATCTATGAAACCTCTTCCAGTGAGTGAATAGTGAACCTGTGGAATAGGCTTCCTGGGGCGAAGGTTGAAGCAGCAAATGTTGATTCCTTCAAACGCAGGAATTAACAATAAGGGATATAGTAAAGAGGTAGTTCTGGGCATATACGCACACGACAAGAATGTGAACCAGGTGGACCTTGGTATTAGCACTTCTTATGTTGCTATGTTTATGGATGATGTCACCAAGAGGGAGCATTTAAATATTGAAGAGAAGAGGACCAAGGACAGAGCCCTGAGGAACGCTGCCTGAGAGAGTGCGGGGGCTGGAGGAAAAGCGGTATGTTAACGAGCAACACCTGGATTGAAAGGCAGGTGTGGTTACATTAATTTACCCACCTACTGGCCGGTTAACATCATGGGTAGCGCCCTCTGTTCGCCAATTTCTGTCCCGTTCCACAGACGCTGCAGTGAGACAAGCTGAGGCCTGGTTGCTTTGCCGTCTGCTGCTCTGTACAGGGGCTTCTGTATAACTGGAGCCTTCCATCCTGTAACGGAAATCAATACTAAATGGAGCGCATTACCGTTTGTTCATGTGGTGACACAAATCTTCAGCAAAAGTGTTTACTATCCTTGTTTTGCTGGTGCTTCCTATCATATTCGCTTGTGTCCACAGCAGCTCTTAGATTTCCTGATGATTTCCTCATAGGTTGTGGGGCTTAGAACCACAACTTTCTGACTGAGAGGCCAGAGTGCTACCATCGTAGACAAGTAACACACACTCAAGTTAGGAAAGGCCCAGCAGGGAAATCAACAGCTGCCAGAGGTAACCACTGAAAGTGATGTATATAATAGATAGGAAGATGGGTAGAAATCAAGAGAATTTTTTTTCCTTCTGGTACAGTTTTGCTGTAAATCCCATGCCTGAACCTCGCAAGCATCAGTGAACGAGCTTTCATCCCCTCTATCACAGTTCTAAAATCTATCCTGGAGTCGCTCGGTCTCGGAATTCACCAGTAAATCCACCTGAAGACCTCTCCATCTGAATGAACTTTCAGTAAGTTTCAGAGTCCGCCCTCCCATCATTGTCATCTTCCCCACCCAAACAAACCAGTTGTTTGATTCCCTTTCTCCTAATGTGAGGGGTGCTGTTTAAATGTAAAATTGTTGTTGTTACTGCTTTTTCCACAACATAAATACCACGGGTTTCATGTTGTACCCAGATACATTGTAAACTGTCAATGTTGTGAAAACTCCAGAACATAAAGGCATTACAATGAGCAAAACAATTGCACCTTTTTTTACTCATCTGACAATGTAACACACACCAAAAACTGCCTTATAGACTCATCCTGGACAATGTGAGTTCAAGGCCTCGGCTTGGGGTTGAATCCACTGCCTTCTTACACAGGTGAGAGTGTGCAACCACTGAGCCATGTTAACACATGTAGCACAGTGTCCTACGACGTGCAGATGGTGATGAGTCTCTTTATTGCACTCTTCCCTCAAGCCATAAAACAACTAGTTGCATCCTTTACAGTCCCTTTCACAACTAGCGTACTGCAAAGTCGGTTAAAGTGTAAGCATTCTGGGAAGCTGCTCTGCGTAAGGGCCGCTACATAAATGCAAGTTTTTGTTGCAGTTAATTCTCCTCCCCAATCACTCGGCTTCCTATCCATCATCAGACGAACAGCAGTGTGAAATTGCCACCTCCAACTTCAACCTTCCCTTTGCTTCATTTCACTAACCTGCCTAATTCAGAGCATCCACTGTGCTCTGTATCTAATCTTCTGGTCCTGCTCTTTGAACCTCATTTGTGTAATAATTAGTGAAACTTTATCAGCTCTAACAAGCAGTGTTTCCTTTTATGGGTATTTTCAAACAATGTAACTGTGGGTTCTGCTCTGACTGAGGACCAGGCAGTTTGGGCGAGTTGCTTTCAGCTGTTTAAAGTCAATAATAAAAGAGCCATCATGACAAAAATAATTTCTACTTGTGTGAAAAGTGAACGAAAATGGTGGCATTCAGTTCGGAAGAAACAGATTGAGCATTAAATATGATATCCCACACGGTGAAAGCTAGGGACAAACCTTCAGAAAGATCCAGCTTTTCTACACCATCTACAAATTCAACATAGATTGAAACTTGAGTTAGTGGGATGAATTATAAACTAGCGTTAGATAAACTGGGGAAACACTAACAAGAACCATATAGTCCCCTTCAGGCGGTCAGCACATCGAAGCATTTAAACAGCAGGGTTGTTGCTAAGCTGATTTTTTTTAAAAAATCAGCCGAGTATCTGACACACTCGAAAACCCATCACCAAACCTAACAGTATCCAAACAAAGCTGAGATTTCCATGCATCCCTCCTACACATGGAAATCCCAGGGATAGATTGTTGAAATGGAATAAACATCCACTCTCTGGAGGGTTGCTTCCTGCTTACCTAATGCCGGAGGGTATGATGAGCAGGATGGCAAGAGCCAAGACTAAACCGCAACGTGGAACGATTGAGGCAATAGCTGACAAAAGCGTCTGCACAGGTCCTTAAGGTTGTACAGAGGAGAGCAACCAGGATGATGATTAGTGTTAGTGGAATGAGTTATGATCGAGCATGACTTCCACACGAGGGCCCATCGTTGATCAAGAATATTTCGGATTACTCAAGCTCACGGGCACATTTTGGACACCAATTCTACTTTATACAATGCTTAATCGATACAAAAGAAAATTAATGAAACAAATTACATTTCAGCTCTTCCTTAATCACTGGCGCCAGGTTTCTTTCACAGCAGTAAACTTTCAGTAACTGCTGAAGCACAACAAGTTGCATTTATCTTGCGCTGTTCGCAAAAAGTGGCATCTCCAAGCGCATAAACCAGGAGCAACTTTACTGTTTTATTTCAGCCACAATCAGATCTAATAAGAGTCTCACCTTCGTGTCTCCCCGTTGACTGAGCTCCGGTTCCTGCCTCTGGTTCCCGAGACTCTCAGTGAAGTGGCTTCAGTGTTCTGGGATGTACAGGTAATAACACACACTGGTCAGAGTCCAGCATCTAATGTCTGCCAGAAAGTCATCGCCTCGCCCGTTTCCCTTGGAGATTTCCACAGAAACTCAATGGTTGCCTGATATAAAATCCTCCTGGTCAGGGCTCAATCCACAAAGCATCAATTTCAAAGAGTTAGCAAACTGACAAATGTGGAGCTTTGGAGAATTTGTTTTCCTGCACAGTTGGCTGTTGGGTTATGGAAAGCCCTGGTGGGAATGATGTTTGAGGCTGATTCCAGATTGATTTTGAGATCATCACTAGATTCCGTGATTGAGTCAACGGAATTGAGTCAACTATCTAAAAAGGGATTTGGGAAAAGAGCAATGTAAATGGGACTGAAAGGATTGGCATAAAATCAGCCACCACAGCCATCCTTCTTCTGTGCTGTACAACTCGATGTTTCTTTGTTCGTGGGTGTGGCACAAAAGATTGGATTCAGTGTTTTTTCTTTAAAAAACGAATCAGTAAAAGAAGAAAAAATATATAATGGTGACGCCCAGTTTTTTATAGTGTTAAATGTTGTAAATTTTCTCTCTCATTTTCTCTTTTTCTTATCACACACTCTCTCTCTCTCTGTCCTCTCTCAGGCATTCCTTCTCTCTCTCAATTCCTCTCTCTCTCTCTCTCTCTCTCTCTCTATCCCCTTTCTCCCACACACGCCTGTCCCTCCATTCACATTCTCATTCCCCTCTTAGTCTCTCCATCTCCACTGTATCGATCACTGTCTCCCTCTTGTCTCCCTCCTCTCCTTCGCAAACACTCTCTCCTCCCACAATCTCAGTCACTTTCGTTCACTCTCTGTATCTGCTTTCTCCCACTGTCTCCATGACTCTGTTTATTTTTCTCACCAACTCAACTCCCTCTCTCATCGCTTTCTTTGAATCGCTTTCCCTCTCACTTCTCACTTACATTCTCACACACACTCACTCTAAATAAATCTCTCTCCCCTCTGCCATACGGTCACTCACTGTAACTCTCTCACCGCTTTGCTTCCGTCCACTTTCTCCCTCCATATTTCTCTGTCATTTTCTCACCCCATCCTCTCTCTGCCACTTTCTCTACCCCTCTCCACCCTTCTAAACACACTATTCTTCTCACACTCTGAATCATTCACTCACACTAACCTTTCTGTCTCTCTCACACCCTCTGTTTCTTTTCTATCAGTCTCTGTATCAATCAATCTGTCTCCCCCACTGTCAAGCACTCACTCATTGCCACTCTGTTACTTCTTTGTTTCTGCCACTCCCTAAACTTCTCTGTTTCATTCTCTCACCCCACACTCACTCTATCTCTCTCTTTACTCCATGTCTATCTCCCCCTCTCCCCCCACTGTCTCTCTCCTTTCTTACTCACACTCTTACCAACACACATTCTCTTCTCTCATTCTCTCACAATCATTCGGAGTCCTGTATCTCAGTGGTTAGAGCACTCGCTTTGCAAGCGAGAGAACTGAGTTCAATTCGAGGCAGAGGGTGAAACCTTGGGCAAGTTTGCTTACTCCACACAGAGCCTAATAATAATCCCTCCAAAAAAACATAATAAATCGGTCATTTTCAAGTTACGACTGTTTGTGGGACACATCTGTGCGCAATTGACTGCCACGTTTGCCCATAAACATACAGTCAATTCACTTTACAGCATATTCTGTGAAGCACTTTAGGATGTCAAGACGACGTGAAAAGCGATATATCAAATGCAAGGAATATTATTATTATTCTCCCTCACTGCCTCTCACCACCACTTTCACACAGAATCTCACTCACTCACTCAATCAGTGCTGTCTCCAGCTCTCTCTCCCTGAATCTGCTTCTTTCTCTCATGCCCATCCTCTCTCTAACAGACGCTCCTCCATTTATGTAAATAGGACTGTCTCTCATATCTCAGGCACACTCCTGCTATCGCCTTTATACTCTCATTCTTTCTCAATTTATCTTCTTTCACGTCTCTTCCCCATTCTCTCATGTGTTCTGTGATTATACGCTGCATGAATTTGATTACATAAAGCATTTGTTGTTGTGTAAGTTAATACAACAAGAAGATGAGTGACGAGTTCTGGTCATTTTCCATTTCAGAGATTGTCACCAATAAAGTTCGTCTCCAGCAATCTGCTACAGAGCAAGATTAGTTGGGAATCTGTTTTCCGATCCATCATCAGACCAACACCAGCGTGACATTCAAACTTACGTTAGATTCATTTTAACAAACCGCCCAATTTAGAGCATCCACTGCGCTCTCTATCTAATCTCCTGATCCTGATCTTTGAACCTCATTTCTGCAATAGTCAGTGAAACGTTATCATTGCCAATGTGCAATGTTGCCTTTTATGACTATTTTCAGTTAATGTAACTCTGGGTTGGGCTCCGGACTTGGGACCAGGCAGTTAGTCCTTGAAAGTCAACAACTTGAGCACCATTTTGTGAAAACTCATTTCCACTTGTGTGAAAGAGAAAGAAAATGGCGACATTCCGTCCGATAGATTGTAGACTGAAATATAATTTAGTCTTATTTCCAACAGCATAAAAGAAAGTGAGAACCATTCAGAATTATCCCATCTTCTCTATATCGTCTGTATATTCGGAGAAGATTGATCTCGCGAATTGGAGGGATGAGTCTTAAACTATCGTTGGACAAGCTGTGCCCAACAAAAGAAAAGTTTCAGAGGAGGCAATAAAAACAATAGCAACAACAGCAACAATATAGTGCCCTTCTCGCGGGTTGCAGCTTGGAGCACAAAAACAGCAGTAAGGTATCTGAGCTGAAATTTTTTGTCAGCCAAGTGTCTGTCCAAAGAAAACAATTAACAAATGGAACATGATCCAAAACAAAGGTGAGATTTCCATGCATCCCAAACTACATATGGAAACACCAGAGTTAGATTGTTGGAACGGAATGAGCACCCTCACTCTGGAGGGACCATCCTGCTCGCTTCATTCGAAGCGAAGTAGGAGCAGGTTGGCAAGAGTCAAGGCGAGGGGAGACCAGAGTGTGTGTTGGGGTAACTCCTGGAGTCCAACCAACCAAAACCGCAAGGTGGAAGGATTGAGGCAATGGCTGACAAAAGCATCAGCACAGTTCCTTAAGGTAGTGCAGAAGAGAACAACCAGGATAATCACAAATGATTGAGGAATGAACTTTGAACAAGGATGAAACAAGCTGATTCATAGATGCATAGAACCTACAGCTCAGATTCGGCCCGACCGCCTGGCTGTTGCTTAAATTCCACATTAGTATGTTGACAATAGTTCAGATCAATCAAGTTCCCCAATGGATTTCGGAGACCATTGATTTCTTAAACGGTTCTACGATGATTAATTCAAATAACAGCAACAACTTGCATTGATATAGCGGCCAACACGCCGGACAGTATGTCGGAGAATGTTGGAGTGGTGGAGGACACTATGTGTGAGGGAGGGAAGAGGTGACCGTAATCAAAGTCGTAAAGCGAGATCTTCCGTTTATGAAACAAATGATATTTTAACTCTTGCTCATTCAGTTACTCCTGGTTTCCTTAATTACAATAAATGTTGCACGAACAACAAAACTTGCATTTATATGGGTTTTTCTCTCTGTGCGCTTACAACCCGGGATAATAGTATGACATTATTTCAGCCACAATCAGATCTAATAAGAGACTCACCGTCTTGTCTCCCCGCTGACTGAGCTGCGGTTCCTGCCTCTGGTTCCCGAGCCTCTCAGTGAAGTGGCTTCAGTGTTCTGGGCTGTACAGGTAACAACACACCCTGGTCAGAGTCCAACAGCTAATGTCTGGCAGTAAATCATAGCCTCGCCCTGTTCCCTTGGAGATTTCTACAGAAACTCAAGCTTACCTGATATAAAAGTCCTTCTGGTCAGAGTTCAATCCCTAAGGCATCAATTTCAGAGAGTTAGCAAACTGGCAAATGGGGACGTTTGGAGAATTTGTTTTCCGGCACAGTTGGTTGATGGGTTATGGAAAGCACTGGTGAGAATGAGGTTTCAGGCGGATTCCAGATTGGTTTTTAGACCATCACAAGATATCGATCTAAATGGAGTCAACTATCTAAAAAGGGGTTTGGGAAAAGAGGAACTTAAATGGGACTGAAAGGATTTTCATAAAAATAGCCACAGCCATCCTTCTTCTGTGCTGTACATCTACATGTTTCTTTGTTCGTGAGTGTGGCACAAAAGATTGGATTCAGGGATTTAAAAAAAAAACTGATCAGTAAAGGAAGGAAAAAATATATTGGAAACGCTCGTTTTTTTATTGTGTTAAATGTTATGAAGTTTCTCTCTCATTTTCTCTTTTACTTCTCACACATACTCCCTCTGTCCTCTCTCAGTCATTAGCTCCCCCTCTCGCTCTGTCTTACCGACACTCTTTTGTTCTCTCAGTTCCTCTCTCTCTATCACACTCATCTCCCACACCAGCCCTCCCTCCACTCACACTCCCTTTCCCCTCTCACAGTCTCTCCGTCTACGCTCTCTCGATAACTCACTCCTCCTTTTCTCCCTCTCTTTCACAAACACTCTCTCCTCCCACAATCTTATTCACTTTCTTTCACTCTCTGTCTCCATATCTCTGTTTCCTTCTCACCACATCTCTCCCTCTCACCTCCTTCCTGTCAATCACTTTGCCCCTCACATTTCACTCACATTCTCACACACACTCTCTCACTCAATAGCTATCTCTTCGCCTCTGTCGTACAGTCACTCACTGCCAATCTCTCACCGCTTTGCTTATTCCCTCTTTCCCTCCCGGTCTCTGTTTCTTTCTCTCACCCCATCGTCTCTCTACCGCACTCTGTCTCCCCCTCTAACACACACACACTCTCCTTCTCACACTATCGATCACTCACACACACCTGATTTTTCTCCCCCCCCCTCCCTCTCTTCCTGGCTCTGTTTCTTTCACTCATCTACACTCTCTCTCTCTCTATCATTCTCCCCCTATTCCTGTCACCCATTCTTCCCTCCAACCTCCCCCTCTCAATTCTCACGCGCACTCTATTTCTTCTATCCTCTCATTCCAAGTGCTTAAAACCTGGTGTAACTTTACTGTTTTGTTTCAGCCACAATCAGAGCTAATGAGAGACTCACCGTCTTGTCTCCCCACTGACTGAGCTGCGGTTCCTGCTTCTGGTTTCCGAGCGTCTTCGTGATGTGGCTTCAGTGTTCTGAGCTATACAGGTAATAACACACCCTGGTCAGAGTCCAGCAGCTAACGTCTGGCAGTAAATCATAGCCTCGCCCTGTTCCCTAGGAGATTTCCACAGAAACTCAATCTTTACCTGCTATAAAAGTTCCACTGGTCGAGGTTCAGATCTTAAAGCATCAATTTAAGACAAACAAATAGCAAACTAGTAAATGAGGAGGTTTGGAGTATATGTTGTCCTACACATTTGGTTGTTGGGTTATGGAAAGCCCTGGCGGGAATGGTGTTGATGCAGAATCCATATTGGTTTTCAAAACATGTCTACATATCGATACGAATGGAGTGAACTATCTAAAAATGGATTTAGGAACAGAGCAGGAATACGGGACTGAAAGAATTGTTATCAAAAAGTGCCACCACATCCATCATAAGCTGAATAATCTTCGTCTGTGCTGTACATCTCTATGGTTCTTTGTTTGTGGGTGTGGTACAAAAGTTTGGCTTCAGGGATTTCTCGAAAAACTAAATGGGAAAGGAAGAAATAACCTTATTTGAAATGTCAATGTTTTTAATATTGTGTTAAATGTTGTGGATTTTCTCGCTCATTTTCACTCTTTCAACTCACACTCTGTCCATATCACTCTCTCAATCAGTCTCTGCACTCTCTCCCTTTGTTTCTCTCACACATTCCCCCCCTCTCTGTTACCCTCTCACACACCCTTTCTCACAAACAACATCACCGCTCTCACACTCTCTTTCCCCTCTCACACTCTCTCTATCTCCCCTTTCTCTTTCACTCACTCCCCCTCTTCACTCTCCTCTTTCGCAAACACTTTCTCCACCCACACGCTCAATCATTCCCTTTCACTCTCTGTCTCTGCTTTCTCTCTCTGTCTCGGTTTCTTAATCTCGCCACAGCCCGTCTTTCTCTTTCACTCCATCCACCATTTCTGTCAATCACTCTCGCCCTCTTTTCTCACTCACACTCTCACACTCTGTTTTGCTTCTATCAGTCTCTGTAACAATCAATCTGTCTCTACCTCTGTCAAACTCCCTCTGGCTCGGTGTCTGTATGTGTGTATGTCAGTGTTTGTGTGTGTGTCTGTGTATGTCAGTGCGTGTGTGTGTGTCGATGTATGTCAGTGGCTCGGTGTCTGTGTGTGTCTCTATGCGTCAGCCTGGTTCAATGTGTGTGAGAGGAGAGAGTGTGAGCGAGAGAGTGACAGAGACTGACAGATTGAGTGTGTGTGTGTGTGTCTGTGTGTTTCTGTCTGTGTGTGTGTCGGTGTGTGTCTGTGTTTGTGTGTGTGTGTACTCGGTACCAAACACAAGGATTGTTACTGCTATCACTCAAATGACGAGTGACTGCACTCACTACGACACCACAGGACTCCACAGATTAAACCGCTCCGCACAGATCACATCCCCGCAAACCGCGAGAAAAATAATACCCCGAATTAGAAATGAATGAACAAATGTTGAAGAATGTTGTTGGAGCTTCAGTCCCTCTCTCCCCTCGGCCTGGAATGAAGGTCCCGTCTGATCCCACAGTGTACAACAGGCAAATGAGACGGGAATATCATCCGCCCCGAAACCGCTCAATGTTCCTCAATACATCATCACAGAAGTCATATCAGTTCGGATCATAAACCTTAATAATATTATACACAGAAACACACACTTTCACTCTCTCACTCTCTCTCTCACACACTCTCTCTCCCACACTCTCTCTCACACATTCTCACTCTCTTTCACTCTCTCTCACACTCTCTCTCTCTCACACACTCTTTCTCACTCACTCTCTCTCACACACTCTCTCACACGTTTCTCTCACTCTCTGTCACACTCTCTCACTCTCTCACACGCTAACACACTCTCCCTCACATACACTCTCTCTCACTCACTCTCTCTCACACACTCTCTCTCTCTCTCTCATCTTCCCCTCACTCTCTCTGTCACACTCTCTCTCTGTGTCTGTTTGTGTGTGTGTGTGTTTCAGGCTCAATGTGTGTGAGAGAGAGTGACAGAGTGAGAGTGCGTGTTTGTGTGTCTCTGTCTCTCTCTCTCTGTCACCGAAACTGACCGTCGTCTCCGCCGCCATCACCACCTCCCGCGGTCCCGCCTCGCGCTCAGACAGACAGGCGCCGCGCCCCGAAACACCGTCAGCCCCGCGCCCGGAGACGGCACTGCGCAGGCGCCGAGTTCAAAAAAAAACCGCGGCCTCGCGCTCAGGGACACCACTGCGCAGGCGCCGAGTCAGAGGGAAAAAGAGGCGCCAAAGTCAGGCGACGAGAGACACAGAGAGAGAGACAACCGACCGACAGAGGCGACTGAACCCATCGACCGTTTAAACCTCACACTGAGGCCTCCCGACGCCAATGAATAACCCACACAAACAATTCTGGAATTTTTTACCCGAATGACAAAGGCGGATCCCGTCACTACAGTCATCCACGCACTTGATCCACAGAGAGCCCAGACATTGGGGCCTCACCCAAATATATTGCCCACAATACACACAGTGAGTTCACTTTACACTATATCCTGTGTTGCGCTTTAAGATGTGATGAGGCGCCATAACAAATGCAAATATTATTAGTGTTATCTCTCAAATTACTAGTGTTTGCACTAACTGCTTCCGCTACAGGACTCCACCGATTATATCGCTGCCTTCAAATAACACTCCGGGAAACCATAAGGGCACTAATGTTCAGCGTTGGAAATAAATGAATAGATGCGGACGCTTTGGATTAGAAAAGATTCCATCCTGATCCAACAGACATCAAATAGCCATCCAGCAACACCTCAACATTATACTGTTAAAACATGACAGAAGTTGTATCGTTCCAGATCATAACATTTAATATGACTAATTTAATATAATAATAATAATAATTCTGGCATTTGGTACAGCGCCTTATCGCGTCTTCACAGAATATCCTTAAATGAATTGTCTGTGTTCTCTGACACTGAGAGCCAAGCGCTGGAATGGCATTGAATCGTGGCTTTTAGGTTTCACATCAACGTCAATATGAAGGACAAATACCTCGAGGAGACAGTTCATGACCATCTCGTTTGTATTGCCAGCTTCTGAGGAACCGGTGAAAACCTAAACATCTCAAGTTTAGAACAAGAATAACATCACATTTGTACAGCAGCTTTCACATCGGGAGGATGTCCCAAGGCACTGGACAGTCAGACCTGAGCTGTGGGTTGGGATTAGGGAGGGGGGAAAGCCATGGGTTTTGGAGGGTTTTGAGATAGGTCTTCAAGAAGCCAATGGAGAGGGCGAGGCAGAGGGACTGTGGGATGATTACCAGCGAGTGGGGCAGAATGAAGGCCGCCCGCTGGGTACTTGCGGAAACTTTGCTCTATTAACTAGTACCGCCTTATTCTCTGTTGTACCTTTTCAATGTGATGCAGATAACATGCAGGTTATTAAAAAAAACATAACGTGACCTTGATATAGCACTTTGCTGTTACCAAATCACTCCTCTAAATACCCACCCGCAATCCCTCTAACCTTTCATACAACCACCCAATTTACAGCCCGCCTTTCCTTGCCCCTTGGGGTTAAGCAGAGCTTTGCTGGACTGATCGAGGTCAGCATCCTAACAAATTCCATACTTTGCTGAAAAGAAGTTCACACCTCTGAGATAAAGAGCAATTAGATCCTTCAGCACCGATGTAGGATCATTGGACCACAGAAATTTAAGGCTGTAGCTTCAGACATCTGCCGAACTTAAGTCTGAGAAACAAGCAGATCGAGAAAGGCTGCTCAGAAGTTGTCCATCTCTATCTATCTCTCTCTCTGTGTAAAGCAGCCTATGAAGGGTGGGGGCTTCCTCTGTGATAACGGGAGGTGGAGGTAGATACACACACAAAAAAAAGTAATTTTGGAAGAGTTGGATTTGTGTTGAGGGTCTGCACATTTCCCAGTGGAATCGATATTGATTCTCCCATATCTAAGATATCAGTTATATGTGAGTCAAAGATCACAAAAACTCGGACTGATCAATTCAAGGGACCGCAAAGGAGAACCGTAGATATACATGGGGGTGAGGGGATTTACCTCCAGTAAGAAAGTGACCCTTACAAGAGAAAGAAGAGGGGCAGTGAAGTCCTTGAGGAAGTAAGGCTTCCTCTATTCGGAGTGTGATGTTATCGCGGGTAAAATACATTTCTATTGTTATGCTGTATAAATCTGTATGTTGATGTGGTAATATAATGTCACGGTTAATGCAGAGACTGTTGCACTTGTATGTGAATAAAGACCTTTTCTTTGAATCTTTGTGCCAACTCACATTGAGTAAACTGAGGCTCCAGTAAACCCGGCAATTTGAATGTCTCGCATACGAAACACGTCCATCTTTCACCCCATATACCCTCAATGTTCTTTTTTACTCAGTTCAGTTTTGCTCTCTTGTCATCCGGCCTCTGCATCATTCTGTGAATGAATAGTAACTCTCTCGGTGCAGAAATGTCTGGTAACATTTACCTTGATTATCCCGCTAAGATAAAAGCATAATTCTTGATCTATGGTGTAAGATTACATTTGTATTCCTTAACGTCTTTAAGGCTTTTAAATTAAGCTCTCACCTATAGCCCTTTAATACGTTGCGTTTGATTTAATGACCATCTTATATGTAGCTTTGCTGGACCGGTTCACGTTAGATTCTTATAACATTTCATATCTGTCTGGGAAGAAGTTCACTTCTCTGAGATAATGAGCAATCAGGTCCTTGAGCACAGATGTAACAATAAAGGACCACAGAAAGAAATGGCTGCAGTCTCACACACCTGCGGAGCTCAAGGCGGAGAACCTCTGAGGCTGGAGAAGGTCACCAGAACCAAAGTTGCCAATCTGTCTTTCTCCCGATCAGTGTATTTTTCCATAGGGAATTTCCCTGCTCAGAGTCACCAGCAGTTTGCGAATGGTGGGGGCTATCTCTGTGACCAGGGGAGGCAGAGTTAGGATCTCTTAAAAGAAAGATGTTAACATGAAATCGTTGGAGTTGACGTGAGAGTCGAAGTAAGTGGTCAAACGCATCTTCCCAGTTGGACCGGATAAGATGGATTTTACTGTTACTGTAACTATTGTCTCAGTTGGAGCTTTTTTGACTCACTTAATAAACTTTCGATTATTAAACAACGGTATTGGCCGTATCCACCAATTCTATTACAATGCGATTAAAGAAGGATAACGCTGCCTGTGATGAGAGACCAAGGGTTAGATTGGCATTAACGAGAGAAGGTTAGTCTGGTTGTCAAAAGCGAGAGAGAGTGCTTTCGACTGTCTGTGAGGAGGGAAAGAGAGAGGATCAGACTGGCTTTTATGAGAGAGAAGGTTAGACTGGATCTGATGAGAAAGACAGGGTGTTTGGCTGACTTTGAGGAGGGAGAGAGAGAGAGAGGGTTAGACTGACTTTTATCAGAGAGGGTTAGACTGAGAGCGAGAGGGTTAGATTAGCTGTGATGGTAAACAGAGGGTTGGACTGACTGGAATGAGAGAGAGGAGACACTGTACGGGGTGTAACATTCTGACGGGGATTCAAAAATGAAAGAGTGTACAGTAAGTTTGTGGGACATTGCTGTGTGCAATTGGCTGCCGCGTTCGCCCACAAATAAACAGTCAATTCACTTTACGGTATATTCGGTGAAGCACTTTGAGACGTCAAGAAGACATGAAAAGCGCTATATCGAATGCAAGGATTATTATTATTAATGCTATTATTATTATTATTATTAAGTTACGATGTATCAAGCAAACAGAACAAGACGATATAAGTTTTGCGTTGCACAGGCAATTTCTGGACCCATCGTTATGCTAAAGTTTATTTGGTAGACAGCAAAAAAGGTAAATTTAGAGAAAAACAGATAAGCTGTATGTATGGTCATTGTATTTTTTTTGTTTCAGTTTTGCTTCAACCATTTCTAATTAAAAAAAAAAAAAAAAAAAAAAACAATAATAAATTGGTCATTTTCAATCCATATGACTGTTTGTGGGACATTGCTGTGCGCAATTGGCTGCCGCGTTCGCCCACAAATATACAGTCAATTCACTTTACAGTGTGTTCTGTGAAGCGCTTTGGGACGTCCTCCCGACGTGAAAAGCGCTATATCAAATGCAAGGATTATTATTATTATTTTATAATGAATCATTGGTTTGTGTGGAAATCTCCTCGGGAACAGGGCCTGGATATGATTTACTGCCAGACATTAGCTGATGGAGTCTGACCAGGGAGTGTTATTACCTGTACAGCCCAGAAATATGAAACCACATCACTGAGAGGCTCGGGAACCAGAGGCAGGAACCGCAGCTCACTCAGTGGGGAGACAAGACGGTGAGTCTCTCATTAGATCTGATTGTGGCTGAAATAATGTCATATTGTTATCCCGGGTTGTAAGCGCACAGAGAGAACAACCCATATAAATGCAAGTTGTTGCTGTTCGTGCAACATGTATTGTAATTAAAGAAACCAGGAGTAACTGAATGAGCAAGATTTAAAATATGATTTGGTTCATTAAGGGAAGAACTCGCCCTTCCACGCTCCTTACGGTCACCTCTTCCCGCCCTCATACTCAGTGTCCTCCACCACTCCAAAATCCCCCGACACACTGTTCCGCGTGAAGGCCGCTATATCAATCCAAGTTGTTGCTGTTACTTGAGTTAATCATCGTAGAATGGTTGAAGAAATAAATGGTCTTCGAAATCCATTGTGGAACTTGATTGACCTGAACCATCAGCATCCGAGGCCGCACTCTCCACCTCTGAAAGCCATCAGGAACCTCGGGGTTCTGTTGGACCCTGAGCTGTCCTTTCTCCCTCATATCCGCGCCACAACGGGCACCGCCTTCCATCACCTCCGAAACATCGCCAGACTACGGCACTACCTCACCCCTCACGCGGCTGAAACTGGTCCACGCTTTATCACCTCAAGGCTGGACTATGGGAACTCTCTCCTCGCGGCCTTCCCGGCCCTCCCTCCACACTGCAGGTCATCCAGAACTCTGCAGCTCGTGTACTGTCCCGCACCAGACACCACGACCACATCACTCCCACCCTCGCTCCCCTCCACAGGCTCCCCATACCCCAGAGGATCCAATTCAAGATCCTCATCCTCACCAACAAGGCCATTCACGGCCTCGCTCCCTCCTACCTCTCTGACCTACTATCCCCTATTTACCTGCCCG